GGCGATCCTTCTGCCTCAGCCTTCCGAGTAGCTGGAACTACAGGCACGCACTGCCATGCCCGGCTATTTTTTTGATTTATTGTAGAGATGAGGTTTCACCAAGTTGCCCAGGCAGGTCTCGAACCCGCGGGCTCAGGCAATCCATCACCTCAGCCTCCCAAAGCGCGGGATTACAGGCTGAGCCACTGAGCCTGGCTTCCTTTAACCTCTTAAGGGAACAGATCACTTTAGAGATAAAACAAAGACAAGGTGGAGTGGTAAGGGCTAGTGGCTTGTGGTGGGCATGACCCCCACACCAGGAAGAAGATATCTGGGGTGCAGGGCAGTCCTTTCCCAGGTGATGGGAAGGCTTCATGGGATGACTGCAGGTCCCCTGGAGCAGGGCCTGACAATGGAGAGAAGCAAGCAGAATCAGGACAACACCTGGAGCACTCTCTCCTTCCCTCTCCCTCCTGAGGGATGCAAATCCCAGGCAGCAGCACACAGGGCTTGAGTGCAGGGAAGGTGCTTCTCCATTGCTTTCATTCAACAAAATCCCCTCTCTCCAGTCCACATCCCCCCATCCTCCCAACTGAAGACACAGCCTCTACTCTGAGAACACAGACAGTCAGGCTGGACCTTCAGTTCTGCCCCAGAGAGGATTGTCTTTGTCCCTCCACTCTGCCCCTGTAAAGGGATCCTACACTGGGGGAAACCAGAGTATTTCACCCCAAAGTAGACTTTTTTGCCATATTTCAATATGGCTGTCAGAGGGACTGCAGACTATAGAGACAGCATGCTGGGGGGAGACTTGTGCCTGCAGAGGAAGCCCACACATGTGGGGAAAACAGCATGCAGACAGCTTCCTGAAGCCCTCAACCAGACCCAGGAAAGACAAACTCATAGGAAAAGGAGATAGAAGTAAGACACTAGCCGGGCTCGGTGGCTCAGCCTGTAATCCCGTGCCTTTGGGAGGCTGAGGTGAGTGGATTGCCTGAGCCCGCGGGTTCGAGACCTCATCTCTACAACAAATCAAAAATCAGCTGGGTGTGGTAGCGCGTGCCTGTAGTTGCAGCTACTTGGAAGGCTGAGATGGAAGGACTGCCGGAGCCCAGCAGGCGAGGCTGTGGTGGCCCGGAGCGGTGACAGAGTGAGACAGAGTGAGATAGAGCCGGTGACAGAGTGAGACTCCAATTCAAAAAAAAAAAAAAGAATTGAGACACTTTATTTATTTATTTATTTTTTTGAGTTGGAGTCTCACTCTGTCGCCCAGACTGGAGTGCAGTGGCTGCTCCTGGCCACCACAGCCTCGCCTGCCGGGCTCCGGCGATCCTTCCACCTCAGCCTTCCAAGTAGCTGGAACTACAGGTGCGCACTACCACACCTGGCTGATTTTTGATTTGTTGTAGAGATGAGGTCTGGTCAAGTTGACCAGGCGGGTCTCGAACCCGTGGGCTCAGGCAATCCACTCACCTCAGCCTCCCAAAGGCGTGGGACTACAGGCTAAGCCACCGAGCCCGGCTAGGTGAGACACTTTAAAGGTCAGACACAGACACAGCCACCCAGTCTGCACCTATTCTGACAGCTGCGACTCATGAGGTCTCATTGGCAGAACAGGACAACCTTTGCTCCCACATCCCATCTCACCGCACTCCAGGCTCCCCTTCCTCCTGTAACCACAGGATGGCAGAAAAGCCCCCGCCACCCGGCCCCTCCTTTGAGTTTTCCTATTCTGTGTAACTCTGAGTACAGCATGCATGCGGTAAGTTTGCTATGCTCTTGTTAACCTGTCTCCTGTCATAGGGCATGGCCCTGACCTGCTGTGGTAGGGAGGAAAGGGATCACCCTCTTGCCACTTCCACAGTTCCCTTCTTGGTTGCAAGGACCTTACTCTTGCAATTATTCCCTTGCTCCCATGTCAGTTTCTCCCCCTCCACTGAGTCATTTTCATCAATACAAACAGCCCCAGCATCTCCTGTCCTGTGGGCGGAGATGCACCTCCCTTGACCGCCCTCCCAAGATATGTCCATGTGTGCTCCACTTTTCTGATCCTCTCTATAAAGCAGGGCCTAACTGGCTCCTGTCAGTGTCATCACAGACTTGCGACAATCACGCATGGGTTGACAGGGTTGGCAGGACTGGCTGTTTCCTCCTTGACAGTCGTCCCTTCTAGGTTTCCATGAGGCTGGTCCCTTGGCTCCTCTTTTAACAACCTAGGGCACCCCAGGGCTCAGTCCTACCTGCCTTCTTTCCCCGGCCCCTTTCCCATCTACACTCCCTAAGTAATTCCATTCAGTCCAAGGCTTTCATCACCATCCACATGCAAATTCTCCCCATCTGTATCACCAGCTCCCAATATCCAGCTGCCTACCCAGACATCTTGACCAAAATCAAGAACTCCTATATTCCTCCCAAACCTGCTTTTCTGCAATTTCCTCATCTTAACAACTCCATCTTGCCAGCTGCTTGGGTCAAAAGAGCAGCAGTCTTTTCACTGACACTCCATGTCAAACCATCAGCAAGCCTGTCCCTTCACTTTATCTTCTGATGATCTTCACTTCTGCCTTCTCAGGCCAAGCTTCCCCCACTGCAACGACCTCCTACACTAGCTTTTACACCTGCCCTCGCTGCCTCCTCTCCAGCGCCCCCCTCCTCAACACAGGAGACAGAACTCATCAAATCAGACTGCATCATTCCCCTGTCAAAACCTTTCCCACATCATTCAGAGTGAAAACCCAAGGCCTTCCACAGGCCAGCATCACCCATCCCATCATCACACTGAGGTTCCTCCTGCCTCACTCTGCACCGCTGATACAGCCACATGGGCCCCTGCTGTTCTCTAACACGCAGGCAAGCTCCACCCCAGGGCCTTTGCACCTGTGTCCCCTACCTGACACGTCACCTTGTCTCCTTCGGCTCTTTGTGAACCATCTTCTTCAGAGGCATTCTCTATCCCCCAATTTAAAACACTGCTCCTACCCAGGCTCAGTGGCTCAGCCTGTAATCCCGTGCTCTGGAAGGCTGAGGTGAGTGGATTGCCTGAGCCCGCAGGTTCGAGACCCACCTGGGCAACTTGGCAAAACCTCATCTCTACAATAAATCAAAAAATTAGCCGGGCGTGGTAGTGCATGCCTGTAGTTCCAGCTGCTTGGAAGCCTGAGGCAGAAGGATCGCCAGAGCCCAGCAGGTCAAAGCTGCAGTAGCCAGGAGCGTGCCACTGCACTCCAGTCTGGGCGACAGAGTGAGACTCCAACTCAAAAAACTAAAAATAAAAAATAAAATACAACTCTTCTCCACCAGCACCTGCCATGTTCCTCCCACCCAAGGCTTTATTTTTCATCAACAATACCCATCATCCCACAGGCTATTTTACTTAGAAAACCATCACCTGTCCCCTAGCTGGTCTTTGGAGCATTCACTCCTCCCTACAACCTGTTTACCACAGTGGCAGAATCATCTCCAAGATATTTAAATCGGGTCATTTCTTTACCCAGCTTCCATTCACAATCTCAGTAAAATCCAAACTTATTCCAACATATCTCACACACTCTTCTCCCCTTCACCCACTAGATCCAGCCTCACTAGTTTTTGTTTTTTTTTTTTATCCTTCTCTAAGACAAACTGGGTGCTGACTGAGGGCCTCTAAGCTATCTACCTGGAGTGCTCATTCCCCATCTTTGCATGGCCAGTTCTTTTTGCCAGTTCGAGACTGGTTTAAATATCACCTCCTCCAGCCCGAGCAACATAGCAAGACCCCATCTCTACCAAAAACAAAAAAAGTAGCTGGGTGTGGTGGCCGTGACTGTGATCCCAGCTACTCAGGAGGGTGAGACGGGAGAATCCCTTGTGGCTAGGAGTTCGAGGCTGCACTGAGCTATGACAGCGCCACTGTACTCCAGCCTGGGTGACAGAGCAAAGACCCTGTATCTCTCTTTTTTCTTTTGAGTTGGAGTCTCACTCTGTCGCCCAGGCTGTAGTGCAGTGGCAAGCTCATGGTCACCGCAGCATGAGCTCAGGAGAGCCTTCCATCTCAGCCTTCCAAGTAGCTGGATTTATAGGTACGTGCCCAGCTAATTTTTTTATTTCTTGTAGAGACGAGGTCTCACCAAGTTGCCCAGGCTGGTCTCGAACCGCTGAACTCAGGCAATCCTCCTGCCCCGGCCTCCCAAAGTGCTGGGATTACAGGCATGAGCCACCGCGCCCGGCCGAGACCCTGTCTCTTTAAACAACAACAACAAGCCGGCTCGGTGGCTCAGCCTGTAATCCCGTGCTTTGGGAGGCTGAGGTGTGTGGATTGCCTGAGCCCACGGGTTCGAGACCCGCCTGGACAAGTTTGTGAGACCTCATCTCTACAATAAATCAAAAAATTAGCCGGGTAGCGCGCGCCTGTAATTCCAGCTACTTGGAAGGCTGAGGCGGAAGGATCGCCAGAGCCCATCAGGTCGAGGCTGC